TCCACTTATGCTCCTGGAAAAGGGTCAGGTATCTCTCTGCAAGGACCTTTCTTCTCGGAACATTCTGGAAAGGTTTAAGGAGCTGCCTCGTCTTCATGGACAGCATCTGTGCTGAGTCAGGGTGGAGGTAAGAAAGATTTCTGCAGGCTACTGTCCAGCCCGAACCCAGAAATGGCTCTGGCCACACTGCTCACTGGGTGGGTGCCCTTTCCAAGGACTGGGAGTCTTGGTCTGCCCTGACCTTCGCACACTAGCTATGAGATATTTTTAAGCCGAGGATACAGAAAGAAATGTTGTGTGTTTCCATTTATCATATCAACAAGCCAAACCATTTTAAAGTTAGAATTTTTGTTTTTGTTTTTAATTTTGCTAGAGGGGCTGTGTGCTCACCAGAGACTAGAGTGAGGGTGTGGTGGGGAGGTGAGAAAGCATCCCCATGGGGAATGGCCAAACGGCAATTCTTCTTCATTTCTCCCTCCTTTTGGGATGTTGGGCACACCAGGTGTGGTTTTCAAGCCGCTGGGATTTGAACTGTGCAGGTAACCACATGGGATCCATCAGTTTTAATCACTGGTTCACTGGATGGCCAAATTAGGTACTTTAAAAAATTAATTTGCATGCAAAGAAGGTGGCATGGTGGTTGGGGTGCAGGACTCCCACATGGCCAAACACAGTTTGAGTTCTGGACCGAGTGGCTTGAAACTCATGCAGGGTGTTGTGTGTGTGTATCCAGATTCCTGGGAGAAGAGTCTAGGAGAGAGGATTGTGGCATGGCCATACCCCAGGAAGGTAATTTCTGGCTTTCTGTCTCTCTGGCAAGTACACTTGTCCTATAGCAAACATCTCTTTTTTTTAAAAAAAAAAAAAAAGCTGATTGGGACCAGCGGTTAGTCTAATGGCTGTGTTGCTTGGACTTCCATGTAGTCGACCGTTGTTTGAGTCCTGGACCCGGTGGCTTAAACTCATGCTGGGCGCATGTGTGTGCGTGCCCAAGATCCCAAGAGGAGAATGGAGAAGAAGGGATTGCGGCGTGACCATCCTCCCTGCGGGGGTGGTTTCTCGCTTTCTGTCTCTGTCTTTCTGAGGAGCGTATGTGCCCTATAGCAAAAAACAAAACAAAACAAAAAACTCTCAAAAAAAAAAGCTGATTTGCAAGCTCATGTTGTAACTGTTGTAAGCTTACTTTTCTTTTCATGGTTAGTTTGTTCCCACTGTGCTTTGTGTTAGCTAGTTGGAAACTTATTACTAAAGAAGAAGGAAAAACAGCCTTTTTTTTTTTAATGTTGTCAACATTCACTGATTTTCACTTTTGAAAAAAATCTATCTATGAATATTTTAGTAAGTAAACACTCAAATACATAGTGAACTGGAAAGCTGTAAAAAAAATATTAAAAATACATTGTTGTGCATTTACTCTTTGGAAAAGACTGGGCCCTGGGAAAAGTCATGACGTATTTCTACATAGAAAAACAGAAAACTAGGTCGTGACTTTTCCAAAGACCTAATTTATCCAAAACAGAAAGCCTGATTCCTATCCTCATAGATTTAAAATTTGAGCTTGTTCAAACAATGGGGAGTAACAAAATTACTGTCATCTAGACCTTATGAATTTCCCCAGGACGTACCACACACACACACACACACACACACACACACACACCTGGCATGTTCTTCAAGTCACCAGGTCCAGGACTTGGACCTCAAAGTTGGCCATGTGGGATCCAGCCACCCTAGCCACTGACTGACCCGAGGCACTGAACTTTGCATTATATTTCATTGTCCTTAATTTATCCTTCGATTTAAATAGCCACGTATCAAGAGGACTGTTTTGGACAGGACAAGAGACCCAGAAACACACCTCTGAGATGATAATTACAGGCAGATTATAACCAGGTGCCAATTAAGTTACAGAGTTACATGAGGTTTGCATCCGCCAGGACTAAAATGGATATTAAAATGCCTGGTGAACAAAAAATCAGAATAAGGAAACTGATAACCGGTGCCTGCCAGCTGGGGGTCTGCGGGAAACTCAGGGCGTGGCTGTGCCTGGCGCCACCTCCAGAGCCGCCCAGGCCCTGCTCTCCTCACTGCTGTGATCCTTTGCCGTGGGCTTCCACTTATGCTCCTGGAAAAGGGTCAGGTATCTCTCTGCAAGGACCTTTCTTCTCGGAACATTCTGGAAAGGTTTAAGGAGCTGCCTCGTCTTCATGGACAGCATCTGTGCTGAGTCAGGGTGGAGGTAAGAAAGATTTCTGCAGGCTACTGTCCAGCCCGAACCCAGAAATGGCTCTGGCCACACTGCTCACTGGGTGGGTGCCCTTTCCAAGGACTGGGAGTCTTGGTCTGCCCTGACCTTCGCACACTAGCTATGAGATATTTTTAAGCCGAGGATACAGAAAGAAATGTTGTGTGTTTCCATTTATCATATCAACAAGCCAAACCATTTTAAAGTTAGAATTTTTGTTTTTGTTTTTAATTTTGCTAGAGGGGCTGTGTGCTCACCAGAGACTAGAGTGAGGGTGTGGTGGGGAGGTGAGAAAGCATCCCCATGGGGAATGGCCAAACGGCAATTCTTCTTCATTTCTCCCTCCTTTTGGGATGTTGGGCACACCAGGTGTGGTTTTCAAGCCGCTGGGATTTGAACTGTGCAGGTAACCACATGGGATCCATCAGTTTTAATCACTGGTTCACTGGATGGCCAAATTAGGTACTTTAAAAAATTAATTTGCATGCAAAGAAGGTGGCATGGTGGTTGGGGTGCAGGACTCCCACATGGCCAAACACAGTTTGAGTTCTGGAGCGAGTGGCTTGAAACTCATGCAGGGTGTTGTGTGTGTGTATCCAGATTCCTGGGAGAAGAGTCTAGGAGAGAGGATTGTGGCATGGCCATACCCCAGGAAGGTAATTTCTGGCTTTCTGTCTCTCTGGCAAGTACACTTGTCCTATAGCAAACATCTCTTTTTTTTAAAAAAAAAAAAAAAGCTGATTGGGACCAGCGGTTAGTCTAATGGCTGTGTTGCTTGGACTTCCATGTAGTCGACCGTTGTTTGAGTCCTGGACCCGGTGGCTTAAACTCATGCTGGGCGCATGTGTGTGCGTGCCCAAGATCCCAAGAGGAGAATGGAGAAGAAGGGATTGCGGCGTGACCATCCTCCCTGCGGGGGTGGTTTCTCGCTTTCTGTCTCTGTCTTTCTGAGGAGCGTATGTGCCCTATAGCAAAAAACAAAACAAAACAAAAAACTCTCAAAAAAAAAAAGCTGATTTGCAAGCTCATGTTGTAACTGTTGTAAGCTTACTTTTCTTTTCATGGTTAGTTTGTTCCCACTGTGCTTTGTGTTAGCTAGTTGGAAACTTATTACTAAAGAAGAAGGAAAAACAGCCTTTTTTTTTTTAATGTTGTCAACATTCACTGATTTTCACTTTTGAAAAAAATCTATCTATGAATATTTTAGTAAGTAAACACTCAAATACATAGTGAACTGGAAAGCTGTAAAAAAAATATTAAAAATACATTGTTGTGCATTTACTCTTTGGAAAAGACTGGGCCCTGGGAAAAGTCATGACGTATTTCTACATAGGAAAACAGAAAACTAGGTCGTGACTTTTCCAAAGACCTAATTTATCCAAAACAGAAAGCCTGATTCCTATCCTCATAGATTTAAAATCTGAGCTTGTTCAAACAATGGGGAGTAACAAAATTACTGTCATCTAGACCTTATGAATTTCCCCAGGACGTACCAAGTATAACATGTAAATAAAAGCGGGATTTAGTAATTTATGAGAGAAGAACAGATAGATTGGCTGGTGAGCCACACTAAAAGAAATAAAACGTTTATTTACATGGTGATTTTTGTTTTGCTTCTTGTTTGTTTTTGTTCTTTTAATCGATTTTGGTTGGAAAAGATCAACTTACAAGTGCTGAGTAAATAGAATAGAACAGATTAAAAAGGCTTATAACATATAAGAAATTACAATTCATTTTACACGAAGTCCCAGGTACATTAAATAGAAGATGGGGGGGAGAGGCAGCCCAAGACCTAGGGAAGGTGGCTAGATCCTTCATGGTTGACCACTCAGTTCATGTCCCAGACCCACTTGCAAGACACTCCTGGGCACATGTGTGTGCCCATCCAGAATCCCGAAAGGAGGGAGATGGAGAAGAAGGAATGCAGTGTGGGCATCCTCCCACCCCCAGGGGTTGGGGGAGAAAGAATGCTTTCTCGCTCTCCCTCTCTGTCCAGTGAGTGTACTTGCCCTCTTGCAAAATTTTAAAGATAGAAAATTTGGGGAAGTCTGAGGTTTCTGGACTTACTGTTTGGGAACAAAGCTGCATTTTATGATGTTCATTTGTAACCAGAATGTGTCTCGGAAGGCCAGCCCTGTAGCACAGAGGTTAGGTGCAGTGCAGATGAGGCTGGATCCTCTATATAGTCAACCAGGGTTTGAGTCCTAGCCCTGTTGTGTCAGGGATCCTCATGGGATGGAGGAGTGGAGGAAGGAGGATTGCGTCATGCTCAGTACCTCTGGTGGGTGCTCTCTCTCTCTCCCTCTCTCTCTCTTTGGCCTTGTCTGTTGCTTCTGTATGCACTTACCTTCCAGCATTGAAAAAAACTAAAATGTGAGGGGTCAGCAGGTGGTGTGGTTAAGGCACTGGATTCCCGTATGGCTAACCATGGTTCGAGTCCCAAACTCTGCAGCTTAAAAATCATGCCACATGCATGCGTGTCCGAAAATCCTGAGAGAAGGATGGAGGAGAAGGGATTGTGTCGTGTCCCTCCCTCCTGGGGAGTGATTTTTCACTTTCCCTTTCTCTCTGGCAGGCACACATGCCTTATGGAAAAAAAACCTTTAAAAATAATAAAAAAATAAATGTTGGACTCATGCATCTAAACTAATATACAACTTACAGCATATAAATTTTGCAAAGAGCAAAGATATCTGACTACTGGTGTATATTTTCCTGAAGTTTCACACGTCCTTTCTGGGTTTTGTTTTACTAGAGTCCTGTGAAGATAAATCAGATCAGCCTGGATGAAAGTGGAGAACACATGGGTGTGTGTTCAGAGGACGGCAAGGTATGGCCAGGGTGTGGTCATGTCCAGAGCACCATGCCAGCACTCCGTACTCACCCAAACCCAGGAGCCTGGAAAAGCATCCTTCTTACTGTATTAAGAGAACCCTGGTTATTCTTTTTGAGTATTGGACTTGTTTCCGATTGCTCGTAATTAAAGTAAAATATATTTTGCACAAATGTGCCTCAGGAAAAGTAATTACAAGAATGTCAATAATGTAACTAGTATTAAGCTGATTAACAGCTGTGGCAGGGTGACGTGTCACCTTAATCATTACTGTCGTGCCAGTTATACTTCAGTGACTAGTCTGCAGTTCCCGCAAGACAGTAGTTTAATGCCTTTGTGCCATAAATCCACAAAATTGCATTTTGTGGGCAGGATTTCTGTGGGCTGGTGGTTTTCATTTTCACATACAAGTTATGAATGTTTCTCTTGAATTATAGAATCTTTTGATAAGCAATCATAGTTTATCAGAAGAATAAAGTGTCTTACAATGGCCACATTAAATAAATGTAAAATCAATATATGTACAGTTTTCTAAAAACCTGGCACCTACTTCCTCGGCCGAGCCCATGCATCATTTGTGTGGTGTATAACTAACAATTAGCAGTGCTTCTTGCTGATGCTGAGCTTTGACATTTAGTGGTTGTGGTGATTGATTTTCCACTTATAAGAATGTCTTTTTTGTTTTTAAGTCGATGCAAGTCTTTTCTAATGTTGGTTTGCAATGATAAAATTCTAATGCACTGTGTATTTTAGCTACTTTTCTAAAATCACAGTGTAAGAAGAAAGTGCATTAAGAATCATGCAACTCACATATTCCTTACCAAATAGCAGATTTCCTAATCTAATTTTGCATTTTTATGTGCTCTAAATGTAGTTGTCCATTAAGATAAATTAAAGACAGTATGTTCAGTATGAAAGAGATATACCCACTTAATCGGTGAACAAAAGGAACATGAAGTCCTCTTGACACACGAGAATGCATTTTATATATCTAAGCCTAATGTTGCCCAAAGATTCTTTTGAAGCAGTAATTGGAACACGAGTGCTTTCAAACAGCACCGTCAAGTTTTGCAGTACTTTCTGAAATTCTGAAATGAAGACGATTGTCAGAGAGAGATGAGGGAGGTGTTGGTTTGTGCAGAAATTGAAAAGAATTATCCACACTATTGAAACATTTTGTGCTCATGTGGTTTAAAGAAAGATGATCTTCACTGAGTTTTCTTACTGGCAACGAATTCCTTCTGGACTGATACCAGTGTAATTGAATTAATTTGGTAAAAGAGAATATTAGTTTTGGGAATGAGAAGTGATGGTACTAAGATAACCTCTTGTTGGAATTCTCAAACTTTAGGTTATTCTTTAGGGCACTATAATGGAATATTCAACTACTCCATCTAGTGGATAATGAGATGACCCTCACGTATCTCCTGGTACCCTTTTTGGCAAATACTTCTGTTTTCCTATTTTAGTAAATTTATAAATGCCATATTATGTATAGACCCATGACATATTGGCTCGTTGGGAAAGTTATGACATGTTTTTCTATGCAAAAATGTGTTCGGACTTTTCTGATGACCCAAGATTTTGGAAAATAGTTTTTTTATATATTATATTAGCTTTGATAGAATTGAAAATAAATCTTTTGGTCCACATATTTATATAAGCTGGCCCTTACCATGGGTTGATTGTGAAAATACGGAAGATAGTATAGGATGACCTCATGACGTGGTCAGTGATGATGAAGCATAGAGATATTCACAGAGGTAACCTTTAGCGATCTAGACCCAGTGCACCTTCAAATCATTGTGTGGCTTTTTTCTTTCTTTAATATAGTAATACTTCTAGACAAATGATGGTTTACTTGGTTATTTCAAGTATAATCTTTGACACTTGCATTCAATTTTAGTCATAATTCTACCACTTATTTAAAATTTGTTCATTCTGTTGGTCCTCATTTATAGTCTTTTTTTTTTTTTTTATTCTCATAGCTTTTCCACCCTTAAGTTCCAAATTTTGAGAAGCGTACATAGCATCAGCAAGTGGCGTGGCGTGGCATTTAAGACACTGGATTCTCACATGGCCAGTTACAGTTTGAGTCCCAAACCCTTTGGTTTGAAAATCTCAATCAATCAATCCATGTTTTTTTGTTTGTTTGATTTTTTCTTTTTTTGGAGAGGTTTTTGCTATAGGGCCCGGCCCGTGTGCTTGCCAGAAAGACAGAGAGAGAGAAAGTGAGAATTCACCCCCCAGGGGAGATGGCCACGCCGCAATCCCTTCTCCTTCATTCTCCTCTTGGGATCTTGGGCACGCACGCACACGTGCCCGGCGTGAGTTTGAGCTACCGGGTCCCGGACGTGAACCGGTTGACTACAAGGCAGTTCAGCGACCTAGCCATAACGCTAACTCCTGGTCCCTCAATCAATCAATGTTAAAAAAATTTAAAAAGAGAACAATGCATAAATATGTGAGTGTATACACACACACACACACACACACACAGAGAAAGAGAAAGCAAGAGAGAGAGAGATAGCGATCTATAGTGCGTGTGTTTACATGTGGAATTTCAGTTTAGCAACATATTTTTAGGTACAACTTTCAGGATAAGCACATACAAGGTTTATTTTCTGATTTCTTGCATGTGTGGCCTTCATACATAAAATTGACTCTATTTTTGTATACAATTCTGAGTAAATATTTTCTCAGAATCTGGGAGATGTTGCTTCCTTTTTTCTGACTTTTATTTTTGTAGACATGTTTGAGTCTAGCCTACTTCTGTTCTTTAATAAAACCTTTATATTTCTCATTGTCCTGCCTTGGAGCTTGGACTGATAACAATAATTACAACAACAACAGGTCCTTGTGATTCAGCTTGCTAAAGTTTGTCTAGTTCTTGTCTATTTTCATTAATTTTGTCTGGAGCACAGTTAGTCCCTTTGATCCGTATACTGAAGTATTGTTTTCATTTTACGAAAGTTTACTTCAGTTATCATTTTGATTATTGCTTCAGTTTCATTTGTTTTCATTTCTTCAAAGAAAGCCAATAATTACATGGCTGGAGGCTGTTTTGCTCAGAGGTGAAGAGCGGAGACCTGTGTGGCAGCTGCCTGGCTGGCATTCCCTCCCAGCTCGGTGGAGTCTGGGCATTGCATGGCCTCCCAGTGCCTCCTGGCTCAGCTGGGCAGGGGTACAGTGGGAGGTGCGTGTGTGGCCAGCTGTCATTACATATTAACTGCCATTGTTGCTAATCATTCATCTTAACTCACTATAGTCTGGTTCTTAACCTCCATTATGGTACCTAAAATTTTTAAGTTGAGAGGGTAAGTGGATACGTACAATTTACCCTTCTACTTTGAAAAGTATGTAGGTTGTAAGAAAGATTGGTTATAGCATGTTGTCCTACTTAGGAATCTTGTTTTCTTATTGCCTTTCTCTCATTCCTTTATAGCCAGGGAGAGTTTCTCTATTTGTTTATTCCCTTTGTGGATTGACTTTCCATCCAATGTCAGTTTTGTTCCTTATTGCCTTGTGGAGTAGATTTTTATTCCATTTTCTATTTTAAATTTTCCAGAGGTCCTTTAATTTCTCATAGCTGTATTTTCTTATCAGCCTGATACATATTTAAGTTAAGAAAAAAATGAACTTCTGAGACCAGCAGATGGCATAATGGTTCTGTCCATCACTGGATGCCCACATAGTCGACCGCAGTTTGAGTCATGGGCCTGGCAGCTTAAAACTCATGCTGGGCGCGTGCCTGTGTGCCCAGTGCCCTGAAAGGAGAACGGAGGAGAAGAGATTGTGCATGGCCAAACCCCTGGGGGTGATTTCTCACTTTATGTCTCTCTGGTGAGCACACATGCCCTGTAGCAAAAATGTCTCTAAAAAAAAAAAATCCACTTCTTACATGCTTAGAGCATCAGGCACTGTAGCCTGATGGTTCGGAGTAGACTTACCTCCTTTTGCCTATGTGGTGTCAGGTAAGTTAAACATACCTTTCTGTGCCTCAATCTGTTTCTATCCCTATAAAATGGGGATAACAGTACCCACATCATCGATTATTAGGAGGGTTACATGAATTGATCAGTGTAAATTGCTTCAAATAGTACCTAGAACGGAAGAAACACTTAATAGTTACTATCTACCGTTGTTCCTGTCATCATCCTGTTTTCTACACCAGGTTGCGGAGGTCTTCTCACTGCGGTTGCTAGACAGTTTCCTGGTTTGCCCTTGTTTTCTGGTTCTCAGGGCCAGTCTCTGTTTCAGTAGTAACACAGCCCTCTTTGATGCCAAACCCACATGGGCAGGCCAGGTTTGCATCCCAGATTTTCCTGTGCATGCCTGTAACTTGGGCTCCCTGCAGCAGGCGTGGATCACAGCTTGAAGGCCCTGTTGAGAGTGTCAGATCTTTCTGTCTCTGTTTCTCTAATGGAAAATCAGATAAAGCAATTTAAAATGTGTTTTAAAGCATGTTCTTTTTTTTTTCCTCCTCCTGAGTTTAGTAATGGTACTGTGCAGTATTTATTATTTGTTTTTATAGACCTCCTGTATGTTTTTGTTTGCTCATTTGTCCATTCTAGAGTTTCTGAAACAAGGTTAGCAAACATACACATTGTCTGACTTTCTCCTGGCCCTGCTTCATGTTTGCATGTTGTGGAAACCTTCTCAGATCAGTAACGGGGGGTCCAACAGGAACTTGATTTCTGCTGGAGGAACTCAGTGCAGGCAGCTCTCTGGGGGCAAGTAGAAGCTTTCCTTGTCATCATCCCTGGTCTCTGATATTCTGTCTGGGTGGAGAATATGAAACCAGCAATCTCCCCTGCTAGCTTCCCCTTGGTTACCACCCAAGCTGTGATGAGAGTCCACACGTCCACCCCCGTGTTGGTTCTTGGCCTGTTATTTGGAAGCGGGGTTTGAGAGAAGCAGTAACCAGGAAGTGCTCAGTGGGAGGACTGTGTAGCACTTAGGCCACCTAAGTTGTGCTTCCTCCAAAAGGGCTGCTGCGGCCCAGTTTTTGGGCTGGCAAGTAAATTAAATTCCATGCTGTAGTGGGAAGGATTGTGTGCCTTTTCTACTGTCTCGGAGGGTAAGTTTCTTTATTTTAGGGAGTAGAGCACTTACCACATACCCTCTGAGGTACTTCTGTGGCTCTCAGTTTGTGGTTGATAAGAACTCCAAGAGTGTTTAAGAGATGGACTGTACAGCCAATTGTTAGAAATTCTCTCTTTTTCTTCATTAGGTAATTTCGTGGCAAGTCTGGGAAAGTCGTTAGGACTGCTGCAGGGGATACCATTCTGAAAAGGATGATGTCCATTGTGACCTTTAGTCGTGATTCTCAGCTCACCTGAGCTCTTCGTAAAGGCCCAGACTCCCTAGGGCTCTGCTCACTGAGGAGTATGATCTTCACTGACAACATGGCAAAATAAATATGAAGGGGGAGAAAGAGGAAATGAATGAGAAATTGATTGGGATTTTATTAGCTTTCGTGGTAGGACTTAAGGCCAACTCATTTGGGATGTCACATTAGTAAAATGAACTAAAATATTGCTGGTTTTACAAATCATCTCTCTACTGGTAAAGTTTATGAGCTATTTGATGAAGTAGTAACATTTTGCATGTGAAGTATAAGAACAGTTGAGTAAAATGTTACTCAGTTAAACATGATAATGGAAAGTGGCATCAGGGTGGCTCTGTGGCTGGTGTTTAAGGGAGCCAGATCCCACATGGCCAGCCACGTGATTCGAATGCCTGGCAACTGGAGAAACCCTGGGTATGTGTGAGTGTGTGCCCCAAGTACTGCTAGGTTGGATAAATGGGAGAGAAGGTGTCGAGCCCCATTGAAGGTACTTTCTCCCACTTCCTCTTTCTGCCTCTCTGTCTCTCTGGTGAACTCATGTGCCTTCTGGCAAGTTCAAAGAAACAAATTATAAAGAAACTGATCTAAGACTTGCAGTCTTGCTTCACCCCCTTTAGTTAGCTCCTTCAGCCCCCAGTGTGTGCTGGTGGCATTTTGCTTCTGACTAATTCTCAGGGGTAGTGGTGAGTATCAGGCTCATTTATTAAGACATTCTTTGCTTTTGTTTACTTTTGTTTGTTTGTTTGAATGAATACTCTGATTCACTTAGTTTCAACTCTGTCATAGTTGCCTTATTTCTAATCGTTGCTTCTCTTCAGTTTGGCATATATTTAAGGCCTTTGAATTTTTTTTCTGTTGTTCTGTTACACTCTTCTACAGTTTATGTAAACAGGTCTCTTTATTATTTGCAATTTTTAGGCCATCTTGTAAAGAATAGGCAAGTATGACATTAGACAAGTTGTTCTTTTTCAGCAGACTCCTCAGTTAAGCAGACATAACCTTGTTGGCTCACGTATCTATCAATGTTGCAGTAAGGACCAGATGAGGTGGATCAGGCTTTTCAGCCCAGGCCTCTTATTGTCAGTTGTGGGTCTTTAAAAATACCCCAACAAAAAGTTGAATTTCATTTGGGTGGGGTGGGATTTGGCCACTAGATCCAGGGATTTCAACTGTGTAGTCAGGTGTGAGAGCTGTTGAAGTAAAACATAATGAAGCAGTTAGAGATGTAAGTTAGTAGGAGAAGTGTGAAATTTCACACAAGACCATGTTGTAACTTCATTAGAGTGGCCACTGGATGATTCACTTTATGAAGAGTCAGGGGCTGCTGGGCATAGTGGTCAGTACTCCTCAGGAAGCTGAGGCAGGGAGATTGGAAGCTTGAGTCCCAGACTCTAAGAAAAATGATTAAAAACCAAAATCATTCAGTTGATAAAAAAGAAGAACTTGGAGTTTGACCAGTTCTATATCTATTGGAAAAGTTGAACTTGTAATTAAAAGTTTTCTCACTAAGAAGCCTCTCTCCATCTGTGCTGCTATAATGATGTTCCTTAGAGTGGTTAATTTATAACCAGCAGAAACCTTTCAGTCATGGTTCTAGAGGCTAGAAAGTCTAAGATCAAGGCACTGTCAATTGCTTTCTGATGAGAGTTGTTCTTTCTGCTTCTGAGGTGGACCTTGCCAGCTTGGCCTTCCCCACGTGGTGGGTGGGATGACTGGTAAATCCTTTCATTGCAGCATGAAAGGCAAAAGGGCCTACCTAGTTCTCTTTAGTTCGTCTGTAAAGTACCAAGCTCATTCTCGGGGGCACTATCCTGATGACTTACCTTCCTCCTAAAAGCCTTGTTTCTCTCGCTCTCTCTCTTTATCCTTAGAGATTTTTGCTATGGGGCATTTGTACTCTCCAGAGACAGAAAGCGAATAATCACTGTCTGGGGACTTGGCCACGCCACAGTCCCTTCTCCTCCATTCTCCTCTCGGGGTCTGGGGCACGTACGCGCATGTGCCCAGTGTGAGTTTCAAGCCCCTGAGTCTGGGACTTGAACTGTGGTCAACCACGTGGGAATCCAGCAACGTAACCATTTTGCCATCTGTTGGTCCCCAGGCTGGGTCTCTTAAAACCATCTCCTTAGGGATTGAGTTTGAACCATATGAGTTTGGAGAAGAGGGACACACACATTCAGACTGTTGCCAAGCCATTAGACACCGATGACTTCACTGATGATCACCACAACATTTAAAGAATAGTTATTAGCACTGCCCGAGATACTAGAGCGAGAGCACACATATCCAGGTGATGGGAAGCAGAGCCCTCTAGACCTGTGCTGGGAGTTAGCTCCAAGTCTTTTGGAGCCCATTGAATTCTTAGGCTTTGTTGGTGAGAGTGTGAACTGATTCAAACCACTTTGTGAAATGGTTAGACTTCCTGTTAAATATGATGGACTTTCTATGATGTGAACATATGCAAAACCTGTGGCTTAGCAATTCCATTCCTACATTGCAAGTGCTTCGTAAATGTGTATAAGCTCACCAAAAGATTTGTAAAGCGTGTTTTAGCCATGTTACTCATAGTAGTCCCAATCCAGAAACAGCCCAAGTAGTTATCAGTGGGAGATGGGTGTTACATGTGATGTTTTCATACAGTGAAAGACTACACAGCAATAACAGGGAACCAGCTACCCCTGTACGCAACATTGTGGATAAATCTGACAAGGAAAATGTTGGATGTTGAATGGAAGAAGCCAGGAAATCACCTGTGATTCCGTTTATACAAAATTCAAACCTAGCCCAGCTTCTCCATAATGATAATTCCAGGGTAGTGGTTTGTTTGAAGGTGTTATTGACTGAGAAGGGACATGAAAGAGCTTCTTGGGTTCTATTGGGTCTTTGGAAAAGTCTTGACTTTTTTTTTTTTTTATGTTTTTCTATGTAGATGTGTGTCATATCTTTTGCAAGGATTCAGTTATTTCTTGATCTGGATGGTGGTTGCAGGGGTGTGTTCATATCATAAAAATTTATCAAGCTGGATGCTTTTGTTTTGTATCCTTTACAATGTATATGTTCTTCCTCAGTTTGGGTTTTGTTGTTATTAAGTAAAACACTCATAAAAAAGATTAAGTATAATAAAGTAACCTGAAACAACTCTAAAAGGGGTACTGATGAGCAGGAACTTAAATCTTTCATTTGTACATTTTTGATGGATTCAGCATAAGATCGGAAATGAAGTGCAGTTCACCTAATCTCTTACCAAAATTGATCTGCGTCATTGATTTATATTTATATATGAGACTCAGAAAAGAAGCTTCCTTTTCCTTTAAGGAATGAGAAAATAGTTCCTTTAGGGACAGCCTGTGGGAAGTTCATAAAAGAATATTAAAAAACCTATTCATATCTATTTCATTTTTTAAAATTGGCATCCATTTAATAAAACAAATTTGTGGTGAGTGAAGGGAACTCCATCTGTGAGATGATTATTAAAGCTTAATTTTAGTGGAATATGCTCACCCTAATAGGATTGTTTTTATTGGCTATTTAATAGAGGTTACACAGCCTTAGAATTATTAAGTGTTCTCCTTTTTTTATTGGTAGTATGTGTTCCCACTGACTCAGCAGCCTTCTCTGTTGCTGTCCTAGTGAATTGACTACAATCCATTTACTTTCTAGGTGCAGGTATTTGGACTGTACTCAGGAGAAGAATTTCATGAGACTTTTGACTGTCCCATTAAAGTAAGTATTCATCAGGTTTTCATTTTCCTAAGGAAGGAAAATGAAATGGAGGCAATGAAAAGTGCAGGAATTCAAATACTAGCAGTCCTGGGGTAGTTTTGCCTGCAGATGTCTGTCCGGGGCACGTACGACGTACCAGATACTGTTTGGCTACTGAGGAGGAGGGCAGAGTGTATCCTGTGTGACTGCGATCAGTTTGTCCCCAGGGAGCTTTTATTTTTTTTTTAATAGGTGCAAGGATAGACACACACGCACACATACACACACACACACACAGTCTGTCAGTAAAGTTAGAAGATACAAAAAATATTAAGGAGTCTAAAGCTGAAGAGTCAGTTTTAGTTATTATTCCTGGTAGCTTCCCAGATGAAGTGATGTTTGGGTTAACGAATGGACGGGGCAGATGGAGAAGCTGGCTCTCCATGTGGAAGAATGACATAATAGAAATACAGAGGCTACAAAGTTCAAATTGTGTTCGGGAAGTGGCAAATAGTCTAGTTTAGATGGTGCATAAAAGACAGATTGGGCAAGAGCACTGCACGGGCAGATTGGGGCTCGCTTTATATCCAGGCTAATGAATCTGGGCTCTGTCTAGTAGATAAGGAGAAATTATTGAATGTTTAAGAGGAAAGAAGCGACATAAACTGAGCTAGGCTTTCGGGTTAATTTCAAATTAGTACGGTGACTGTGTATGGAATAGATTAGGCTAATAGACGAGGCAAAACCCAGTTTTCGATAACAACTATGGCAACGTGCCTACTCTACTTGTTAAAGAAAGAGGTCATTCATTCGTTTGTTTCCTTTAGTCTAACATTTATTAGCCAATCGGTAAAGGAGAGATAGGCTACGTTGTGTGCTTTAGAAAGCTGAATTTGCCAGGATGGAGGATGATTTAAACAGGGAAGGTGTTGGGGACAAAAGACAATTTGGAGGCTAATGCAGTACTCTACACAAGACGTTAGAGTACCTCCATAAAAAGGACAATTATGGATATTTGTAGAGTGGATGAAATGAGGTTGGACAGCCTTACGAGGTAGGCCTACTTGCCTTAGTGAGGGCTTACATGCAGGTGATGAAAGATGGAAGCCCAAGTTTTTTCTGTGGAATGTCACGGGTGTCAACTGCTGTGAGCGATGGTGTGAGGCAGGACATTGCCAGTGTGGTCTTGAGTGTCGATCACTATTCCATCAGGTGAAGATGTAGAGGCTTTGGAAACATGGGTGTGGATGGCAGTGGGTCCTTGGACACAAAGTTGGTAACTGCAGTTTTCAAAGAGATAGACCAGCGTAAAGATGCAGGGTGAGAAGAGAAGACTGATAGTGAAATTCTGGAGCACTCTAATTTAGAGACTCCAGGTGGAGGCAGGACAACAAAAGCGTCTACGAAGCAGCCCTTAGAGGAAATGGAGGAGATCCAGCATGGTGTCAGAGAAGCCAAGGGAGAGGTGGTCTCCAGAATAGAGAAGTGGGAAGCAGTGTCAGAGGCGGCATGCGGATTAAGTGGCTGGAGGACATTTTATTTGGTAATTAGGAAGTTGCTGGCAACCTTCATGAGAATGGTGTGAGGAGCAGGAGTCTCCCCATATATTAAGGGATAAATAGAAGGGGAGGAAGTGGGAGCAACCTGTACAGTCTCTTCGCTCAGAAGTCTGGAGGTAAAGACGAGATCACCTAGGAGCTAGGAGGGGCAGTTTCCAGGGAAGGTTTCTGTAAATCCTATTTGACTGATGGTGAAGTCAGTGGAGAGGGAAAAACTAAAAGTCAAAGAAAGGGACTGCTTACTGAAGTGGCACTGAGCCATAGGATCAGCGGCCTAGGTGCGGAGGGGACTCTTGGAAGAGATTCCGGGACCCTCTGCCCGTGAGACACATGCGAAGGTGCTCAGGCTGAGCCCAGCGGTGGAAAGCTGGGCAGTGAAGGGCCCCAGTGGCTTTGTTTTCTTATGCCCAAGGAGCCCAAGGGGGAAGTAATGAGATTACAGAGCAGGGAAGATCTGTGCAGTTGCAGTCAGTCTAGATAAAGCACTGTTAGGAGAGAGTTTAAGAACAGGTAACCTCAGGGACCCGCAGTTGGCGTAATGGCTATGTTGTCGGACTCCCACGTACTCGACCACGGTTTGAGTCCTGGACCCGGTGGCTTAAACTCACGCC